TTATATATGTCAACGTAACATGTCCTTTAGTTTCCATAGTCTAAGATCTCGACTGATGTTAAAATTGAGGTCCAATCAAATTGTTTTCTTTTTCAGAGATGTTCGAAAATTGAATGTAATAATATAACATAACATGCTAATAAGAAGCAATAATAACATTTTAACAGATAAGAAATTTGTTCTAACAAAACAGTTTACCATTATGCTGGTCGTAATTTGCGGTTTTTGAACACGTTATAGACAGTTTATGATGTGTGTAGATAAAAAAATTTAATAATCCAAAAATGTTAAAAAAAACATGAACATGTGTTATCTGGTGGGCTCATAGATTTAGTATATAGGTACTGGGCTGACTTTGTATATTTCTCGGATGTACAAATTTGCTTTAATACGTCAGGTTTAATTCTTAAATATGAACGTACGCATTGGCATGATTTTGAATTTGGCATTTATAATGTGGCCATTCTACTAGGCTTACCGTCGCGGTCGCCCACTGTTTGAACATTTAATCGCCATTATAGTTTAGTAAGGAAAAAGACGTCCAAAATGCTTGCAAATTAGCATGGAGAAATGTACAGCTGTCCGTAACGCATTTTAAATGTCCACTTGATAAGACCCTGTGCATATATGCTAATCTGGGGTCAGGGCCTGAACTTATAAGGTCCCTTGCTTTGTTATATTGACCTTTCTGTATAACCAAGATGTTGATAGGGAGGGTCACTATAATAATCAAAACTTTGGGACTGTCCACTTGATATTATATGCTAGAACTGAAATTCATAAGCCTTGTATTCATAATTTCAAATGTGTTCAAGATACCTAAACAACAACTGCTAAACACTGTACCTTTTTTTGTGTATGATAAACATTTGGTAGAACAGAATAAATCCCTGCAAATAACAGTGACTGCCGAGTTAAAGGGACTTTGCTTAATATGTTTCTTTTTTTCAATAGCAAGACACAGTGCAAAGTAAGATTGTACTCTCCTAGATAACACTACATTCGGCCTCAATGTTCTAGGCATACGCCAGTACCGATCGCGTTGCAACTGTAATAAAGAATTTCAAAAGAATGGAGATCGAGAACTTCTCAACTTTCGTGTTGCTCTGCGAAGTCCTGGAGGAGTCCATAATAATAAGAAGAGACCTTGAGAGAATAAAGCAAATCATCAGTAAGTGAATTGCGGACTGTAAGGCCTCTATAGGGAGACAGGCGATAGTCGTGCTTCCATGCGACGTCCAAACGATGCTGTTGGCGACTACATACTAGCCAATGCAAAAATAATTATATATAAAATTAATTTTCACTGTGAGTATCGCCTTGCATCTTTCACCACGAGGGCTTCCCTAATTTCTAGCAATAATTGCATACCTGTATATGGTTAAACTTAATCAACTACAAACTCGTCCTCTTGAGAGATCAGCCTCTGCTCTATTGACCGTAACCTGTGCTCTGAATACTATTTCAACTTAAATACAATAAAAATGATACAACGGGATGACATCAAATTATTTCCAGTGGACCAACGTGACATCAACGAAGCTCGCGAAGAGAAACAAGAAAAACGCATAGCCGAAATGTCCGCCGAATGGGAAATTAAACACGGGCGAACTATGGAAATAGCGAATCGCAATGAAGCTGCTGACAACACTCTTGCGAAGGTCTTAAAAGGCGTTGCCGATTTAGTTAGGTAAGTTGGGATTACTAGTATTATTAATGGGCATTCTAGACCTTCTAGTTATAGCACATAGATAACACTTCATTTCTGTTTTAAAATTGTCAATATGCGTCAATGAAATTCTGAACGTAATGATTGTGTTAGCTCGTATCATACCGAGTGTGATCGCAAAACTATCGCGGACGATAACATTGGGCATTCTAGACAGCGTGGACGAATAGAGGCGGTCTAGAATGCCAAATATTACACTACTGATATCTGTGCATGATGTGGTATAGGAGTCACGTTCAGAATAACGAATGAGTGGATCCGTCGCTAAAGCCGATCCTAGAATTGAAATCTAAGTGATACCATGCAAATCCATTTATTTATTTATTTATTCAGGACATTTGAACATAATAGCTTAAAACTAAGTGCTTCTACACTTAAGGAACATCACAGCATGCAATGACAACAATATGCTTTGAATTATTAACAAAATTATTGCAGTTTTAAATTATGCGGATATATAATTAATCTATCTACTTATAAAATCGATATACACAAACTGATTTAAAAATTAAAAATATAAATTTGAGAGAATTTACTAAGTACTATAAAATAATTGAAATGTAATTTATGTATAGTTATATTTCTTGGGCGTGGTTGCCAAGTGGTTATCTTCGAGGAGTAGCGGGGTCTTCTTTATTTGAGTGAAGTACGAAGTGCAATGAGTTCGAGGAATATTACGTTTATTGGTTATTTCACAATTATGATCTGCTTTTACAATTATACGTATAAGTGATTTTACAATAAAGCCGTAACGCAAGCGATTTGGAGCTTGTGTTCGGAGTTTGGTACGGATACGTAGACTTGTGAAATTTGATGCGAACTGTGGTTAAATGTGAACTGTCCCTTGTCGCGGCGTGTTGCCTTTTTATATCGGCAAGCGCGAAGGATGCGTAGCGTCTCCGGTTCGTGTGTCACTTCCTGTCGCCAAAGCTTTTAAGATAATTGTGTCTTTCGCATAGCGATGTGCGTTTATCTGTTGCGTCTTGCAATGTCTGTTATTTCCTTTGATAGGCCTGGTTTGTATTGTAAAGAATGGTATCTTCGTCTGGCGTCGTAGTGTACTTAAATTTCTTCCTGTGTCGTTATCTATGGAATCTGGCCATGTTGGTGGTCGTTCCTTAACTGTATTTATAATATCACCCAGCCTTCTTTTGTAACTGTTTAACCCAAGACCAATGTCAAAATCATGTGATTTGGAAAGCGAGTTATACGTCCTGCAGGGCCTTGGCAAAAGCGTGAAATGACCGAGGCTCGTTTTTGAACGTTTTTGAGTATTGAACAGCAACATATTCAATAACTCGGGGCAATCTAATGAACCGTTAACAAGTTTATGTAGGAATTTAAATCAAGTCTCTTTCTACGGTTGATCAAAGAAGTCAAATTGGAATGCTTGAGTCTATGTGAGTACCCCGGAAGTCTGCTAGCCCTAAAATCGCCCATGCCAAGTGATACAGAAAGCGTTTTTGAACACTTTCCAATCATTTGATGTACACTTCGTAATGTGGAGTCCAAATAACATAGTTGAATTCTAGTCCAGTGCTTAGCAGTATGAAAACCATCATCCCAAAACCCTTGTTGACCGCTTTTATAATATGGAAGTCAAACCTCAATTTTCTGCCTATCAAAACCCCCAAGTCCCGAATCTCGTCTACCGTCCTTAATTCCTGTCTGTCAATGTTGTATTTGTATAAGTCGCTGAGCTTATTGCGTGAAAAACGTATATGATGACATTTAGCAACATTTAATATCATTTTATTGGATGTGCACAATCTACATAAATGATTGATATCTTCTTGGAGTAGTTCCGAATCCTTGGAAGACTTAATTGGTTTTATTATTTTTAAGTCATCGGCGAAGGTATAAACTCAAGTTTTTTAAGCAATGAATTACGTCGTTAATGAATACGTTGAAAAATATAGGACCTAAATGAGTTCCTTGGAGAATCCCAGACAGAGCAAAAAAAAATTTTAACTAAAACCGTTTACCTTAGAATGCCGATAAGATAAATAGGACTTAATCCATTTAAGCAATGACCCATCATTGCCCGAAAGCGAAAATTTATTTAAAAGAATTTGATGATCAACTTTATCGAACGCTTTGCTGAAATCAGTATATATGGCGTCCACTGGAATTCGTTCATCTACTAATTTATATATACTAGATATAAATAACGCTAAGTTTGTAGTATTTGATCTTGATTTAAGGAAACCATGCTGATGCGTAGTAATAAAATGCTTCAGGTGCCAGACTAGATGCTTAGTGACTAATTTTTCTAGAACCTTTCCAAATATCGAAAGAACAGAGATCGGTCGATAATTTGAAATAATATGACGGGGACCTGATTTATGTTGTGGGATTATTAAGGCCTCTTTCCATTGGTCAGGAAAAACTCCGTCATCAAGCGATCTATTAAAAATCTGTTGCAATGGAAAAGATAGAACATCAGCACATGACTTAATAAAAAAGTCAATATCCCATCACTACCGGACCCCTTCCCGGCATCCAAAGATCTCAAAACATTAAGCACATCATGGGTTGAAAACGACAACGTACAAAGAGAAGAAGTGGATGAAGATCTTGGAGGCAACAACAACGGCGAGTATTGTCCTTGGGTATTAACCCAAGGACAATATTCGCCGTTGTTGTATATAATTATACCTTAACAAAGTTTTCGGCGAATAATTCGCAAATAGAAGGCCACTTGAAGCCATTTTCCCATCAAGTTCCATTTCCTGTGGACAAATACTCTGACCACCCCTTTTATGTTTGATAAAAGACCAGAAAACTCTAGGGTTACTGCTTATAGCACCTTAAATTTTATTTATGTAAGAATTGTAACATGTGTAACTCAACTTGGTGCACCCTTTCCTGAGCAGTTGAAATGACAAAACGTCTATCGGTCCATTAAACGCAATAAAATCTACAAGTGCTGAATGCATCTCACTGTCAGTAGCAACAGGAATTGTATAATTCTCGCTGTCGTGGTTTATCCACGATATGCCTTTCAGGTTATAGTCACCAACCATTAATTTTCTACTACTACTAAACTATTATTATTTATATTATTTGTGCTGCTGACATATGCTCTTTTAGCGTTTGTAATTGAAGTGAGAAGGAAGGTAAACTGCTCATATACATATAAAGTTTGGCAGTCTTACTTTTACTAGTTTTAATGTCAATGCTATCCACAAATCCTCAACTGAACTTTCAATCAAGGTTAATGTTACTGTAATTAAGACGCCTCCACCATCAGCCCTATGATGAAAGCGCGACGACTCGCGATCTCTTCTAAGTACTGTGTAGCGGTTATCAAAAAGTTCCGAGTCATGCACACTGCTATTAAGCCAAGTCTCCGCAAGGACTACAATGTCATATTTCTCAGAAGATATTTTCTTTAAAAGGTCAATGGTCTTAGATTTCAGACTGCGAACATTCTGATAGTAAACACGAATGGAATTGAATGTTAATTTTTTTTAAATGTGAAAGATACATGCGCTCTACTAGAGAAACGAAATAATTCAAATCACTTCAGAGTCTTAAGTATATCTATATTGGTGATAGAAATACACTCCGATGATTCGGTTTTCCTCATAAAAATCCTGCCTTTGGGGATCCATACGAATCTGTACCCTATTTCTTTCGCTTCAATTCTAGCTGATACGTAGATGGGTTGTGGCTTATTTGCTGCAATGCCAAGATGAGCACTGTTCAATTTTTCATTTGGATTTTTCTTGTTGTAATTGATAGTCGCAGCCACGAGGAAATCCCGAATACGAGCAGTGGTAAATTTGACAACAATCGAGCGGGGTCTGTGGCTCTGGTTGTCTATTTTGCCCACTCTAGTAGCGTGGAGAATATCAGTGTCAACTATTTTACAGCCCACGACTGTTTCAAGTTCCATTTATACTTCTTTGAAAATTACCTACGAAAATTTATCAAAATAGTGACAACCAACGGTATGTAATTCTATAAAGGACGACAAACCTATTGCTGTAAGGCTTTTCACAATTAAAGTAATTTACAAACTAGGCTTCAACGTGTCTCCCACAAATGTAGGTATCTATTCAATCTTATACTTGCGCTGCAGTACATGTGCGAAAATGTTTTGTTATGACAAGAAAACAATTTTTTCATGATTATCATGACATGATATGATATGATATCTAAAGATAAAAATATAATGAATTTGGATAGCTGCTACTACTGTTACTAAACCTCACTTCCACTACCATCCATACACCTATCCATTCAGACTGTTTGGCATAATTAAGTAATAAATATGGGATCTGTAGGGTCGATGTTGTTCTTCCGTTTCGAACACTAACCGACCCCAAAACGCAACTTGAAAGTCAGCCAGCCTAGTCTCCACCGGGAACATTCGTGTGTAAACTGAAATTAATGTTCGACAATGAATACTTTAGTGGTATACGTTGAACCGCTAATACAAAGCTCGTTACGACCTCGAATATTCGACAATGTGTATGGAGGCGTTAGTAACAACTAACTACCAATTATTTCGCACAGAATTGTTCATCGCAAAATGCTACAACAAAACAAATGCTCGTTGTCGTTATTCCACATATTTTGTCATAATACCTATTATATTATATGCTCCTATGATGTCGATCATTATTTACAGGTGAACGCTCTTAAGTCTTTTTACAATTACTGTTAATTTTTGACGTTGAATCCTTATTATGATTTGAGATTGCCGTTCTTACTTATACCTGATAATGGAAATCACAATAGATGTTACACCTGCTTCATCAAGCGAAGTCCTAGTTTAGCAATACTGTGATCTTTCGTATCCCCGCGCCGCGTCAGTAACAGAGTTCTGATGGTCAACTAAAATTAAGTAGGTACTTTTTTAATGTCATTCTTCTTACAGCTTAGCGCAATGCGATTGGTCCCCTCTTTTATCTCTTCTGGGCAACCACAAGGATTTGACGAAGTGGAACGTCACCAAATTCCTCAAGATCCTTGAAACCGAGGTGAAGAGTCAGATCGAGGTTGCGTACGGTGCTGTTAAGGTAATACGTTTATCTTTCATGAAGGTTTTTATTAAGCGGGAATGTTTATTTTTATTTTTGTTTTTAACTAGGTGTTTGTTTTGTTCAAGTATCGTAAATCGTCAGATGTCTTAATATTAAATGTACTTTGATGAAATTATTTCATTTCGAATTTAGACTCATTTGATTAATATTCAAAAAAATGCTTAGTTTACTTCTACGATCAGTCCCGTATCTTTCTACATAAGTTTTGTTTATAGTGACCAACCTGTCAACCTCTTGGTCATATGGGAATGGCACGATAACGCGGTAGCGCATTGCACAATTAACGGTTGCCACCGCTATGTCGTTGAATCCAAAGTCCACTAGCAAATCTCCTCTCAACAGTCAGCAGAAACACGTCAGAAGGTCTTCTACAATGTGTCATGACTTTGACGCACAAATGCCTGTAACGAAGACCCAACGCGCTCGTAACCACCTCCTGTTATAGGGGTATCAATAAATATTGTCATTTTTTTAATTATACAATTCCTTTTTGTTGTCATTTAGAATTATGGACACTATTGCTTTATATATTCTCTTTGATTTGAGAGAAACGTCAAGTGGTATGACATTAACCAAGCCCCAAAAATTCGAAATCCTTTTAACACATGTCAAAATTAAATATAATTCGGTACCAGTGACTTCTAATGTAAACTAATGAACACCACGACAGTTAATATCCTTCCGATTCCAAAAGTAACATGATAAAATAACAAAATAAACGTCAATGATATAATTCCCACTACAACCACGCGGCATCTACTTAAAAATAGACGAACGTCAGTATCTGCTTGAACTAGACTTAGAGCGTTTGCGCTACGTCCGATTCGTATCAATCCGAAAAGTGACTGTCTGAAATGTCACAAGGATCATTTTATCTTTAATGGTTACACATGGTGACTTTTAGCAGCGTGGCAAACGCGTGTTCGTGAAACGCGCTTTTTTGCGTCTCTACGCTTGCGATCTATAGGCGATTGCATCGATGAAAACGCGTGACTGCATCGATACAAACGTACGATGTTGAGTCATTATGCACAAAAAATCTGTATAGGTTTATGTATGTGCATTGTTTTGTTTTCTTAATAGACAAATTAAAGGTAAATTTTCTTTTTTTGTAAATAAGCCTACTGCGTACCGCTTCTGGGGAAAGACCTCTCCTCTTGACGTCCACAGTTCCCTGTTTGACGCAATGTTAGGCCAGTCCTTTACATATGCATCCAAGTCGTCCCGCCATCTCCTTCTTGGTCTGCCTCGTTGTCGCTGGCCGTTCTCCGGTACCCACCAAGTGGCTGTGTGAGCCCATCTCTTTGGGTGCATGCGACTGACGTATCCAGCCCGGTCCCATTTCAGCCTGACAGTCCTTTTCCCTACATCGCATCGGTTATACGTGTCTTCGAGCGCAGAATAGTGTTCCGGATTCTGTCCGTAGGTAAGGATAGGCAAAATATACATGTCGACGGATCTTCATTTAAGTGTGATTGTCAGGTTTCCCTTTATAAGCTCTTTCATGGACCAGTAGCTCTTCCAGGCGTTTTTGGAGGCGTCACTCGACGTCTTTATCTTGCCTATTACTGAAAATAAATAAATACACAAAATAAATAAATCACTTAATTAAAACGTGCATTGCGGCACACAACAGGCGCAGCGGTAGTGCCCCTCAGATCTTTGCAATTTAAAACTCTGAATGGCACTGCAACTGTTATGGACAGGCGTGTAGCTTACCATTGCACAAATTGTTCGCCCCGCCACTTATATATAAACAAAACTGTCATTATTGAATAATTGTCTAGACTTTTTAATATCTTCAGCTGAAATGACATTGGTCTAATTTGTGTTAATTTGAAGCATGCTATCTGTATTTGGCCAGCCTCCTCCACCAACGCCGCAAGCAAAAGGCATCAAGAAAGGTGCACCAGGCCCTGCAACCACAAAATTGGTTGACGATCCCTTCGTAGAGCCTCTGCGACCGAACAGAATTGAAAAACTCGTGCCTTACCAACCATGCGCTTAGTAAGTACATAAGATTAAGTTTGCCCAGGAACAAATATGGTCCATAAAACACGATTACTGTACATTGTATGCTTAGTGGTGTAAAAAAAACGTTTTTTTCTGAGGTGAAGAAAAACAAAGAAAAAAAAAAGTCTTTTTTCAGGAGTAGGTTTTTGTAAAAGTATGAAAACAAAAATATTACAAGGACTAATTTTAATTTGTATATTTAATTTGACACTACACTCTTGGGTTTACCACGTGAATGCGGATGACTATAGTGCGAAGACGGCTGCGCGAAAGCTATAATGTGCGACAGCTTATTTTCACGAATGTTCAGTTGCGCGAAGGTTTAAAAGCGCGATGGTTCATTTGCACGAATAACGATAGCACGAAGACAAATTTGCGAAAGCTGGAAATAAAAATGTTACAAATCAACGTCTCTTCCTATGTAAATGAAAAGAAAAGCATTCCAGGCTATTGACATCTCAACTAAAACTTGCGTGAAATAAATGAACCATCGAAGGATTAACCATTCGCGCATTCCAGCCTTCGCAAACTTGTCTTCGTGCTATCATTGTTCGCGCAAATGGACCGTCGCGCTTTTTAACTTTCGCGCTTTTAAACCTTCGCGCAACAGTCAATTCGTGAAAATAAGCCGTCGCGTATTGTTAACATTCACATGGGAAACCACACTACTTACCTTCTTTTGTTAATATTTCTTCATACATAAATTGCTCAAAATAAATGGATTTATTTATCACTGACTTTTACACAAATTAAATATTAAGTTATATGATTAATATTTAAAAAAATCATATTTACAATCTACATAAAGTAAAAGAATCACAGTATCATTTCAGATACTTTGTTTTTCTTTTTCTTAAAAAAAAAAACAGTTTTGGAAGGTCATAGGCTTGTCTAAAAAATTTCTACTACTAATAAGCTGTAGAAGAAACTTAGATATTGAACTGTAAATATTCTATACCCATATTTTATATTTTTAAGCATACGTTGCATTTCATAACTTACAAAACTATCTTTTCCTTACGTAATGTAAACTAAAGAATATCCTGTATTGCAGCATTTCACGCGTACCTTCTAAAACGGCTTATCTGTTGTAAATATCTCTGTCCCTTCGTTACTGATTACATAGACTATTGAATTCTACACAAATCCTACACTTTTTTCATAGTCAATATTCATAACGACATCCATGGTAGTAAAGTATAATGTTAACAATTGATTTGTTTTCGCGATTTATTTTTTCTTTTGCTGCTTTACGATCGCCATCTAATGTGTGTTCGGACCTTTTTCTTACGTAGTCATCACTGTTAATTCCAGTTGCGTAGAGGACTACATAATGAACTTGGTGTTCGAGACACCAGCCGTCCCGGCTGACGCCGAGTACGTCCAGGGAATATTTCACTTGGAGGACGAGAACACCAAATTCGGGATTTATACACTTACTATTCCTGCGTAAGTATTATAGGCCATAAAAGTACTTTTCTATTGGCGATGCGAGACGGGACGAGGCGAGACGAGAACTGAAATCTCGCCGGCTTATTTCCATCAAAAATTACAATTAATAGCTCGCGCGAGCTCTCGTTGTGATTGTGGATAATGAAGATTCAGTTCCTCTAGCAATAAACACGCGGCTGAAGTTACATATCCCGTAAATTACTATTATTAAATATGTTAACGGAAGAAGAATCAGATGATGCCATCTTTTTTTAAATCTCAAATCGTACGTGCCCCACAATCTCGCGGTTGATATTAACAGTCATCGCGAGTTCGTACGAGATCGCGCGAGAAATCGTGTTTCCATTACAGACTATAAATACTCTATGTAGGCAGCAATACGGCTCAATATTACCTCAAGAAATCCAGACCATTTTCACCGTCTCGTCTCGCCTTGCCGGTGGGAAAGCACCTGTAGATCCTTTTTGTCGATATTATATGCAGTTAATTTTGTGTTAATCGTTATTCTTCCATATAGACCAGCTCTTTCACTAGTGATTTCTAATTAAAAGAAAGTGGAAGTTATGTGAAATTTCTATCATAAGATCTTTAAATATAATATGGTAATAACTGATATCATCTCACATAATTCACAAGCAAAGCATGGCGCCACTGTCAGTTAATTTTTAGTGTAACAGAGCAACGTATTAACGGTATATTGGTAGACATCGGATAACAATTCACACAAAAAATCACAATTTAGACGATAATTAATTAATAAATTAACGAAAAGCATTTCAAAATACGTAACTTTAAAAAAATTGCCGTCATGACATTTCCTGACTAGATGAGTTGATCTCTCCTATTTTCGATGTGTCCCAACGCAATACAAAACATTTATGTCCCTTTTAATGAGGTATTACACGTTATGTTGAGAAATGTGTTCTTTAATTATTTTTTTTAATTTATTAAGGCTTTGGCAAAGTCATCAGCCTAAACATGAAGTTTAATTATGTTTCTGTAAATATGGTCGCCACAAAGAGAATAGGCAATTTGAGGCGGCGTGCTTGGATTGACTCGGGATTCCTTAAAACGGGCCGATACGGGTATTTTAGTTCGAGATTCGTATAATTTCGCGTTTTAATCTTCGATTAAGGCACAATAGCACTATCCTATTCCAATTTAAACTAGATTTCACAAAATAATTGAAAGTCAAAATAAAAACGACACATTTCCCTCCAAAAGGTCCAGAGCGAATTCTGTTCTTTAATAAGAATAATATTTCTTTTTTTTTAATGATCGGCTTGTCAGACTAATTAGTCTTTTCTGCCAAATAATTATATCTTATTGAATTAACCCAAATGCAATAATTTAGACCCCTTAAATTGATGTCAAAAATCAAAACCGTCACCATTATTAAAATCCTAAAGTAGCTTAGTTTTTTTTAATAATACCGTTCCATATTTCTGTTTACAGAAAACGACACCCATACCGTGGTTCGAAGAAAGATTAAAACTATTGTTGATTCATTTGTTACACTATGCAATTACCAAAAACACTGCAATAAAGTAACATACCTGCCAATTATAGATTTTATTACTTTATTTCCTTTGATACAATATTCACAATCAGCAAATTAGAAACTTGCGGGCTTTTTAACAGGCGACAGCTGTTTAAATTACTACCACAGTATTACAAAATTATAGAATTGTTACTATTAGGTAAAACAAGATAGTAATAAAATTCAAGTCCGTAGTAGTAATTTTATTCCTTAAATGGCAACACCATAACGAATTTTAAAGATTGCCATTATAATAATTTTCCCAGGAATTAAGGTAAATAATTTGTATTTATCTATTTATTTTTTTAATCTTTTGAATCTTCTGTTATCTGTTATATATACCTAAATACGTATTTATCAAGTTAAACAAAAGTATATGAGTTCTCCAGATCCATTCATACAGAAAGTTATATATTCTTTTTATGATATACCTGATTCATAGAGCCGTTAATTTAACCTATTGTACTGTATCAGAAACTTGATATCCTTTCTAAATGAAATATAAAATCCAACAGCAATAAGCCATTTGTACATACATACAGTATGTAATAGCGTAGTGTAATCATATTAAATGATCCAAACGTGTTCTCGACGTGGACCTGTAAAATATTCAAAATTATTTATTTCAACGTTATTTCAAATTAAATATATCAATGAAATTTTCATTATTTTCCATTTTTTGTCACACTTCTATTGCTTCTTTTAAACTTAAACACATTACTGTAGGCGCGACTCTTGTTAAGATATATTTATTTAATAGTGTTGGCAATTACAAATTAATGGATCATATCGTATCGTTTACTGACTTCGGGTTTCATCTCTAGTCCAATACATTAGTTACATCAGCTGATTGAAACAATGATCCAAAATTTTGGTCAATAACACAATGCGAGCTAACGTCTTTGTATAATTATTTTACACTTAACTGAGTAGACCCTTGACTTTGCACCTATTTATAATAATGATTTAGGTAAAAAATATATCGAAGTAACACATTTCAAAAATAATAGGGAGAATTTGTTCAAGTTATGGTAACCCTGATATGTGTTTTCTCTTGTGGTGGTTGTGTGAGTGATTGTTGTCTCCGCCATTGAATTTCAATATAGCCGAGTATTAAAATAGGTTGCCCGTTTAATAATCGGCAAAAATCTTGAGAATCTTTCCCCTTTTGCTTGTTCTATTTAGTCGTATTCCGTGGACAACCATTATATCCAATGGCAGACAGAGATACAGATGAGTTAAACATCGATAACGTAATAAAAAAATTATTAAAAGGTAATTGTTGATAATCCAAGAAATATATGAAAATAACCGCAGTTTATATCTAATCTGGTGCAATTGAAGCTATAAGTGTTAAAACGATTGGTGATTCAGTGAACAAAGTGTATATTATTAAGTTTTTTACGTGTTAGTGATATGTTTATATTTTGTTTTCAGTACGAGGCGAAAAGCCTGGTATGAATGTACAGTTGACGGAGATAGAGATAAAAGGGCTATGCTTAAAATCACGAGAAATTTTCTTGTCACAACCAATATTACTTGAATTGGAGGCCCCTTTAAAAATCTGCGGTAAGTAACAGTAGCTAATACCATACGTCACTTTCTAAAAGTTGAAATTCTAAAATTCACAAAAGGAATCATTAAGAATTATTCCATGATACAGTTCTATGAATTGGCATTTTTAATTGTAGAACTATTGTGGGTACTAATGTTGGAATACCTTTGATGTCATCATTTTAGGCTTTAATTTTTTGATAATGCCTTACTGGTCAACTGAACTCTAATATTTCGGCTAAGTACTTGAATCCGAGCTCTTAAAATAAAAAAATAAAGATGCCTTATATGCTGTACCCATATTAGCACCAGTAGAGCTCCTGAAAGAGTTTGACCAAGGAAGTACTACCACTTTACCTATTTCTGGCACCAAATGGTAATGCTATTATTACCGCATTCTAGTTTGAGAGCCGGACACATAATGACTATATCTTCAATATGACCTGATCAGCATAAGGATAGGATATTATATAGCAAAACTACCATCTCTACAGAAAGACTACAACTTACAATGACTTTTTTGAGATTTTGTTATAGTTTTTTCAAAGTACAGTTTGGCTAAACATTTAGTGTCATCATAAAAGAATGAAATAAAATTTTTATAATTTATATTTTTGTTTGTTTATGCTGCCACGGTCAACGTTGCCAACTAAAAATTATTGTAAAATAAAATTATGATCCTCATATTCACTGACATTACATTTCCCAAAAATTTTTCTACTATTAAGTACAATTTAAAGGATAAAATGGAACCAAGTTTATAACTTTATTTTCATTGGTATTTTTTTAACTACAAATTGTTTACTGAACTTGTCATTTTACCATGTCGTCTATTAAACGATGCAGTCATTTCGATATCTAGTTGTTTTGTTACCAGGTCATTGTAAGTTATAGGGCCGTATTCCAGAACTCTACTCAGCTCAAGTCCATACTCAAGTCCTTGCCGTTAGGGTCGTATTTCCAGTGCTTGAAATCATACTCAAGTCCTGACTTCAGCATCGAGTAGAGTTCTGGAATACGACCGATAGTCTTTCTACAGAAGTGGTTGTTTTGCGATCTAGTTCTTATGCTGACCAGATCATTTTTAAGATATAGTCATTATGACACTGATATTGAAATCTCACTCAATCACTGATCAGTATTGAAAGGTAAGAGTGCTAGTGATATTACAGGCACATGGGACTTATCAACTTGTGTTTCAGGGTGACGGACACAGTGGCAATGCCTCTCAGATCGTTTGCAATTTAAAGCTCTGAATGGCATTGCAACTAGTATGGACAGACGTGTTGCTTATTTATCCCATTGCTTGATAACATAAAATAAACGTTTTTGTTATCATTTGGTATCATTCTTGGTATCATAAAAAATTGTTTTTAATTATCTTGGTTATGATTGAATTTCTGACTATTAATTAATTTTGTCACATGAGTAACGCTGCAAATGAACTGCAATTTGTAAACTACAATCTGCAGAAGTTATCCCAAGACTGCACTATACTGTCTCTTTCATTAGGATTGCTGTTAATATTGAAATACATACGGGCAATACAAGTTTTCAATTTCCGCTTGGTGATCAAACTCAAAATTTCAACTTTACAGATATAGCGTAAAATTCATTGCTATAAAA